GCTCTCTCTCTCTCTCTCCTCCCCCCCCTCCTCTCTCTCTCCAGAACTTGTTATCGCAGGATAATAAGGATTATATTGTTTCAAATTTCCCCATCTCCAAGATACTTGCAATATTGTTTGTCTCTTTTCAATCGTTTAAACAATCTTCCAATAATCTTCCAAAAACATCTAGACGCCCAACTTCTCACCTTGGAAATCTGAGAGGATAGCAAAAGAATTTTTAACTCCTCCTGGCTCTTTTTTATTATTGAAAAATAAAAATTCGAAAAAATTCGAAATTTTCGAGCGAGAAGATTTTTGAACGTGTCTCTTTCAGCGCCGGAAATCTTTTCACGCGATTGTGAACATTCGTAAAGAAAATTTTTCGCGGATCCAATGTGGAACGGGTGCTCAATTTCATAGATGCGCCATAAATGCAATATTGTGTGCTAACCGGTTTTCACATCAGCAAAAAAAAAAGGAAGGATGTTCGACAAAAAGTTTCACTTTATGTAATGAAATATCCACACAATATATATATATATATATATATATTTCTCTGGTTCGTTTTGTTCGATTACGTTTTTTCGAAAAGGATTAAAAGTAGGAAAAATGTATAATTAAATTTGAATAAACAATAGAAAATTATTCGTCTCGTTTAAATTATCGATTTTTTTATCGCGTTATTTATTTATTATTTTTTTTTTTTTGGACGAGAAATTATTTCTTGATTGGTTAAGCGTCGTCCATTTTTCTTTTCTTCAGAATCGATCATTAAGACAGCGGGAAATTCCATTGGCTTGATTTACCGCAGAGACACGTACCACCTTCCGGACCGCTACTCGTAAAAGCACGCTACTTTGTATGGAAACCGATGAGCCCATTGCTCAATGCTTCCAGGCCAAGCATTGACTCGTACCTTCAACCAGTACTCGATTTTGATTTGACAGGAATCTGAATGTACACTCCAATGATGGTTTCATGTTCGAAACTAGAGCTCTCTTTCCCTCTTTCCCTCTCTCTCTCCTCTTCCTTCGCCACATCGAAGTGCACATGTCCTAAATTTCACTCAAAAAAAAAAAAAAAGAAGAGAAAAAAAAATTATTCAACTTTAATTTATCACGTCGTAACATGAAATGTAAATTTTTCGAAGAAAAAAAAAATATAGTTGAAAAAACATTGCAATAAGTAAAACGCTAAATCTAAATCCATTGTTTTCGTCGAAACGAAAAAAATATCGATCGATTCCTTTTTTTATCGATTTATCGAGCGATTGAAATTGAACGAAGACGAAGTTAGACGAAGCGAGACAAGGCGATAGGACGAGGCGGCAGTGCGACGAGGACAGTAATTTGATAAATAAGCTTGTTTTGCTCGATTTTTGTATATCAACTTTTCCATCTTCGTTTCGAATTCGATTCTTCAAAAAAGTGTGTTTTGCAAAAATATCATCTTGACGTATATCTTGTCTCGTGAGAAGGCAGAATCAGTATAGATATTGGTTTAGAATATATTACTTCAAAATGAGCGAGGTTGCGGTACGGCCAGTTACACAGTTACAAATATTCGTAGAGCACGTATATAGATGCATAACACGATGCTCGCCGCCTAATCGTGGTTTGCAACAGGTTCCTTTCAAAGCCTCCAAGTTCCCCCTTCATTTTCGTAGAGAGAAGGGGGGGAGAGTGAAAGAGAGGGAGGGAGGGAGGGAGGGAGGGAGTAGCGAAAACGTGGCGTAAGAGAATGATCCCGTTCGATCGAACGAGCGATTAAACTCGAAGGCTGGCTGGCTTCTACTTAACGATAATTCTACCTCGCTCCCCTCCTCGAGTTGCTACGTTCAAACTGTTTGCCCGTCTGTTTATTCGCCACGGTGATTGCGAATCGAATTTTAAATGGATTAGTTTGGTTTTCGTCAATTTTCGCAAACGCAAACGTTGGACAAAGTAAACGTTGTTACGTTTCGAAATTCTCCACTTCGAGTTTTGTGCGTGGATCCATTTTGTTGTATCTTGAAGTCGGTCGAAATTGATTTTCAATAATAATGAGAATCGTTTTTTTGTTACGTTATATTGGATTTTCTACGAGTCAATCTGCCACTCTTTTTAATCTGTTATTGGTAAGGTGAAATAATTGTACGTATACGTTAATTGAATTTTTATATAAATTTGCTATACATACTTGTAAAAGAATTTGGCTTTAAAGAATTGATGGAAAATCGGATTTTCTCAAAGCGATGGAATGGAAGAGCGGCGGTTGGAAAAGGAGTGCAAATTATAGTGGATTTTATTTCCATTAAATAAATGTAATATTAACCGAGCTATGCAACTTTAAACATCATCCAGTTAAAATCCACAATTAATTCCTTTGGACAATTTAATAATTCAATAAAATATAATAAGTAACATAGCAAGCGTGATATAGGTTGAATGTAATAAAGGTGTAAATGTAATAAAGGTCGAATTATAATTTTGTCTCTTTTGTCTGAAATTGGGAAAAAAAAAGAAAATGATAATTTTATACTGGTTAAACTTTATTATTCTGTGGTATGATTTTTTTAAAGTGCAGTTGTAATTATATTTGTATACCAGTGTTTCCAAATTTTCTTTGCATTATTATATCCCAAGTAGAGAAAAATTTCTCACTAATTTTAACAAACTTCATCATCCTATGAACAATTTCTTCGCAGTCCCAAAGTATAATTATATTCGTACTTCCAAATTTTTTTGCGTTATATTTTATATAAATTTTACGATAATTTCATTTCCTTCGAATATTACATCTAACAATATTTTTCCAAAATTCCTATTCATTGCATGTAAAAAAAAAAAAAATAAAAATTGTAAAAAACAATTTTTTACCATTTAATAAATTTCATACTTATCCTATGAGCAATTTTTTGACAGATGCAATTGTCAAATTGCATGATAATACTCGTATATCAATACTTTCAAATTTTCTTTCCATTATATTCCATATACTTATATAATATTTATCATAATTCCATTTCCTTCGAATATTCAGCAAAATATTCTTATTCCATTCTACATCCGTCTTCTCTTATTTGTATCGATACATAATACCGAAAAATATTCGCGAATGCTACAGAAATATTCTGAATGGGGAATAAACTGCGTACACAGATCGTGGACAAAAGCGAGAAACTCTCGAAGCTCGTACGTGTCACCTCGCATTCGAGTCATATGAAACACGATTTGATTTATGGCCTTCACGGTTATTCCCGATTTTCGCGCTGTCGAATTTTTCGTTTCGTTCCGTTCCGTTCCGGATTGTCGCTATTCCCGATTGGGGAACGTGCAAGAATCTTCTCCCACCATCGCAAAGTGGTGCGATTCTACTGGCATTCCACTCGTGCGCTCTTCTTTATCCGTTTAACCGTCTCTGAGACCGACTATCCCCGCTCAGTCGGTAAAACAGGATGAAACGAACGATTACTCTCTTCCGTCGATTGTTCTTTTCTTTTACCCCCACTCATTCCAAGCTCCATTTCTCATCCGGTCAGTTTCTTCCGTTTTTTCTTACGTCTCTACTTTTTTACAGCTTCACGTTCTTTCCCTTCATCTTGTTCTTAAAATATTCTCTACTTATGAAGCTAATGTCTTCGCTGATAAAATCCATTAAGAATATTATGCGACGCACAACACATATTCTTTGTATTAGCGTTGAAAATTAGTTGTGAAATAATTTGATTTTTTGTGAAATATAATAGAAAATTGGTAAAGAATTTTTACAATTTGGAATTGAATTTGAATTCTAAAGAATTTATTATAAATACTAATAAAAAAGTTTAAAAATTGTTTCTTTTTATGAAACTTTAGCATCTTTGCTAATGAAATCTATTACAAATATTAAATACATCTTTGTAATCGTAATTATTAATATAATTGTACGAAATTTGATAAATTTTGAGATAATAATAAAAAATTATAAAAAGATTTTTGCAATCGTTGTTTCATCTAGAATTTTAAAATCTTTAAAAATATTCTCTTTTCATAGCGAAATCCATTAAGAATATATTATATACGTATTTGCTCGTAAATATTGGAATACTGTATGCGTTCAAATTTTAAATTTTGAAACAGTAGAAAATTGTGAAGAATGTTCACAATTTATCCATTTATATCTAAAATCTTAAATTCTAAGTAACTTATTCAATATTAACGATTAGATTCAATTTATATTGTCGCGTGATTTCGTTCCATCCTATGGTCCAAATTCACGTGCATTTATCAAATTCAACGTAACACAAGCTTAGCTGCAATGGAGTGGACAGTTTTCGTACGGTACGCGGAAAATAAGAGTTTCTGCAATTGCTGGTCGCTTGGTAAATACAAGGTTAACCCGTAAATAACTTTAGCTGTACTAAATAGCATGTTCGGCGAAAGCTTCTAACTTTTTCCGCGCAACGAAGTTGTCAGAAATATTTCCTGCTCCATGCCCGAGTTAGGTTAGGCGACACGATTTCACTCGAAATACTTTCGGATGGAATTTTTTTTATTCTTGAAAAAAAAAAAATAGAATTAGAAACAAATTTCTACATCACAATAATAAATGTGGAGAAATAATTAGATTCGCTTAAAATTAAAGAATTTTAATGCTTTCAATTCTATTGGAAAAATTTATCGAAAATTATGTTAATCTTCGATTCAACAATTCGGTGTAGATTGAAGACTTTGTTTTATTTTGTGCAAAGTGATTGATCTTTGTATATTCGATAAATTCAGTTGATATATATATATATGTTTTTGTGCGAGAAACTTCAATTTAAGTTAGGTTAAATTAGGTTAAGTGATGAATGGAAGGAATATTCTAAGATTAAAGGATTTAGGTTATGTTCAATTAATCTGTTAATCGCAGCGTTAACTTCGTTAATTTAGCATCTCTCCAAGGAAATAGAAATTTAGAATTTCAAATGTAAATAAGAACAAGTGGTTGAATCAAGTATTACAGTGGTTGAATCAAGTCAATGGATCAAATTGTGCAATAAAATAAATCCATTTGAGTATATTATATTATAGATCATCAAAGAACAATATTCCTATGTGAATGAAACAATGAAGAATATTTATTTATCATTATTAAAATAATTAGCATTTTTCTTAATGAATGAATAAATTAGAAACAAATGTATTTTACATATATTGTTTATAATAATACATCGAATCGTTGAATCGAATACTATTTTTAATAAAGCTGAAAATATTGTTTTATCAAAGATTTGTTTCTAATTAATCTCTGTATGTGTTTCTGTAACGTGCATGGAATCGTTTCGAAACTATCAATTGTTCACAGAAATGGGAACTGTTAGGAGAAACTTTCAAGATTGTTCGGTCCCCGAGTGGCTCGAACGAAAAGACTAACTACGCAATTAGAGGTAACGTTTCGAGTCGAACGATAAAAGTAAGGGAATAAAACGTGTGATTAACGTGCGTGAAAGAGATCTGATTTGTAGTCAACTTATTTTTCAACGTGTTTAATAAAATGATTTATGATAAAAAAAGAAAGAGAAAGAGATCGTTTATTGTGGTAATAAGTTAGCCAATTACTCGAGAATTTTTGATATTTTAAAGCATAAAACCTATTATTTTTACATACACTCTTCGTTTCGAAACTTCTTTACTTAAAAATTTGAAAAATTCAAATCTGGTTGTCAAAAACAAATTTTTCTCATGGCTGAGAAATTACAATCTTTCCTTTATATAAAAGACTCTTTAAAATTTACTGTATAATTTTTTTTTTCATCAAGTTATAGAATATATTTGAATATTAGGATCAGAAAATTCAAAAAAATGTTAAATTTTTGTTTTCTGTTTTTGTGAAAACAAACGGTACAGTAAGTTTCAATAAGTAAAGAGGAAATTTTAATCTGCATGTTTAAAAAAATATCTTTTCTATTTATTTAAAAATTGACTCAGAACTGAAAGTAAGTAGTATTCTCTCTATACTTTAAAATATCAAAAATTTTTCCAATGATTAATTCATTCATGCTTCCTATTAAAGATAAAATTCAATTTAAAAATTCCAAATATTCTTCATGCTCAAAAAAAAATTGTATTATTAATATAATTTTTACATTTATTTTCTGGCCTATTAAAGAAAACATTCAATATTAACGTTATTTAAACAACATCTTTCTCTACATAGTAATACAATGTAATTTAATCCATGATAGCATATAATAATAAAAGCAGTCACACAGTTTCCACGAATTTGAAACAAGAACCGTGGAACATTCGTAAGACGCGTAATATGCGCGAGGAACTTGGAGGAGCAAAGTTTTCAATTTAAAATAGCGCGTGAGACGACCAGAGGACGCGAACCCCCTTAATTAATTTCCTGTGGCCTTAATTAATTCACGCGATCGAAAGGAAATTCGAAATCAAAGGAGAAAGCGGCGTGTAACTTGTTTATTGAATTCCTACTGCGTCCGTACTGCGGCTAAATGCGAGGGAATGTTTAAACTCGGGCAAGTGAATTAAGAGTATCGTGTAACCAAAGGAAGTTTCACGAGTTTCAAGAAATTAGCAAAGTTTGCGCGGCGCAATGCCTTATCCCCTCCACTCAACCTTCCCTCCCACTCCCGCCTTGTCGAACACGAGAGATATCGCGGTTCAATGGTTCCAAATAAGGCCGAGGGACAAATAAAATTCTTCTTGTTATTTCTCGGCTCGAAGTTGGACAAACACGATATTTGTCCCAACGCAGCGATAGGCTCGCAGTGAAATACTTCTCTCTGTTTCAGAGTTATTATACGTAGCGGCTGCGAACTGTGTACGATTTACTCGTAGCCTGGATGAAGCATGGATGACATTTATCATGCGAAGTTTTCTATTTGTGGGTAGAGAAGGATGGAAAAGTGCACAAAAATGTATAAATTTATGTATTATTGGTATTTATCGAAGAAAAAGTTTTTCTAGAGAATTTTAGAATTCTAGTAATTTTTATATAAGTAACGAGTTTTTTTTTTTTATAAGGAATGTATTAATCATGGTAATAAAATTAATTTTAATAATTTTAATAATAATAATAATAGCAACAGATTGTTAATAATAACGAGTTAGTTAGCATTATGTTTTAGTTACTGAAGATTGAAACAGGGACATAACATTATAAGTACTTATTGCTACACATACTGGAAAGTTTGGAGAATTTCAACTGCAGTAACACATAAGTACATATACCTGTAACATTCTCATATACCGCTACTGCTAATTCCAGTTTAAATTTTCAGAGTGACTTTGAGAAATCTCACACTTGGTTCTGTATAACTTAAATTAGAAACAGAATATAACTTTTAAAATAATAATTATTATATTCCTCTTTGTATAATAGCGAAGATTTAAAAGAAAGAAAAGATGATGTATATAAGGAAGATACGTGCTACTAAGTTCTAAGTAATAAAGATTAGGTCAAGTATTTGTAGGAAAAGGACAGCTAAGAGAATTGTGTTTCGGTGTGCGAGGTCCCTCTGGTGGCACGTATAGTAGGTCAGCCGCAAGTTATTTCATTATGTTTAAGGGGAAGCTACTTATAAGCAGATTAGGTATTATGTTAGATATTATGTATATGTGCATTTATGAGAAATTTATATATGTATGAAATGTGCATATAATGATGCAAAAATATACCGAAAATAAAGTGCTGTGGTATAATATTTCAAGGATGAAACAAATCTCTACCTAGGTTCCATTTCTTTCCTGCACTCATAAAGATACTAATTTGCATAGAATCTGCAATGTACTTAGTCGACATGCTAATACTGTTATTACTATAGTATTATATTATCATATTAATTAACGCGTACATCAAGGATATTGTTAAAGGATACAAAGTACATAATTACTTAGCACTGTATTATTATAATATTTCTCAACTTTTCTTGAATTATAACCTTACTTTTTATAGTAGTCGAGTAATCTGTTCACTTTTCCATATTTCATGTTTAAAAGAATAGAAGAAAAAAAAAAAAAAAAATAGGACGAAAGAAAAATATTTCAATACGAGATGTAATAAAATTACGACACGATAGATTTCAAGATAAATTCTACAGAGATAACAGTTCACAGTGATCGTTATTGGTCATACGAATTGAACAAATGTTACATATCTACAATGATATCGAGAACGGTAGTAACATCTTTTAATACTCGCGATGAACGACTGTTTTTATATTCGGTTCGAATCTAATATCCAAGAAATTTATTTGCTTGTCGCTTCTCTTTCCCTTCTCCGTATCTTTCGCGCACTTTTATTCTTTTCTTCCACCTCGTCACCGAACGAGCACTCGAAATAGCACTCGTAAAACGAGGCACTCGATAAAAATCATGGCGTGATGCAACATCGGTAAAGCGGTTTCCTTTTTTTCGCCCCCTCTCACCACTTCTCTTCCGATCACGAGAGCCATTAAGCTTTTCCACTAGACTCTGTCAAGTGTCTACTAATATAGGCTCCACTAAATCATTCGCGCTTCCTGCATTCCTAAAAAAAAAAAAATGTGTGTGCAGCGATCTATTCGTACACTTGTTCTGTACGTTTAGTAAAAAAAAAAAAAAACAAACAAAAAAAAAAGTTCAAAAATATACACTTCGTAACATTGATGAAAGAATATGTACGATGTTTGTTTATCGATTTATGCGAATAAAAGTACGAGAAAATTAATGCGTGTGCCAAATTGTCTGAATTGAATTCCAGCGAATAAACGTAACGTGAAATTGTTAATTGATAGAAAGGAAATAAAAATTGAAATGAGTGGAAAGCCGATTTATTTGAGGTTGAATAATATTGCTTGCGAAGTGAACTGTACTACCGACCGAAAGCTTGGAATCGCAAATATGCACGTTTTATAGAGCGTATTCGAAAAAAGTTAGGTTAGAATTCTCGTAGTAAATTTTTTCATCAAAAATCTAATAAATTAAATCGGATTATAGATTAATCTTTAAAAATATAGGTTTATTATAATTTATAATAAGATTATTTAAGCCACGTCCATGCATGATGCATAATTTAAGCAGTTATTAGGCTTGCAAAACTATTAATAGAGCTTATGGCCGTTCTGATAACTTTGTTATGTTCCTTAATGTGTATAGACTTACCGAATTGGAGCAGACGTACATGGTCAGTAATATAAGTACTTAATTATACTAGCGAATGAAATCGATGATCTCATCAAAGAGGATCCTCAAACAAATCGAAACCGAGTTCAATTCAAACAAATTCTTTTTATTCCTATCAGATTTATTGTCAATAAATGAAACGGTTGAGCCAGATAACGCGTGATACCAAACCCAATTACAAACTGGCCATTTTCACGGCATTTCGATTGGCGTACGAATAGATTTGATATGTTTCCATTCACTTTTAAGTCTGGAATAAACTTTTTTTCGTTCATGTCACGATTTTTTTAAACATCTTATATATGAATATTTATATACTCTTACATTTAAATTTTTTAAAATTGCAGATTTTTTCAAAATTCGATGAACGACAGATGTATTTCGAAATATGAATTCGAAATATAAAAATATTTAATTTCGCGAAAAAATAAAAATAATCGAAATTTATCGTTCGTCGATCTTTTCGCTATTTTCTCGATATACAGGATTAAATTGCGTTCTTTCAAAGTGGATGTATACTTTTTCTCTCTCTCTCTCTTCTTTTTTTTTAGTGCGAATTTTATGGCACATATTTTTACTACATGCTTTTGCTTTTTGTTTGACGATTGCAAAGCGTTTTATGTATAACATTTATATGTATATATATATAAAACTATACAAATGTTTGTGATATGCTATTCATATATTCGTTCCTGCATATATATTTAATGTGATATGCATGCATATCGAATTTGTTAGAACATGGTTGACCTATTTTTGATGAAAAAAATTAATAATTATTTCGTAGAAAAATGAATGGAAATGTCTTACGGTTTACATATACCCATATTTAATTTGGTATAAACGAAAAGCCAAAATAATAAAATAATCGTTCCAGATAAATAGACCTAGATTCTTACACGAAAGGAAAACAATTTCTAGAACAGTGAAGCATTTGCGATCATTAATCTCTTTAAAGCTCTCGAATCAATCAACGACACTCGGCTATAATTGTTCATGCATAGGTTTTCTGAATTTTTCCGCTCGTTTTACTCTTTTACCTCTGTTAATCAATCTGAAGTACCGGAGAAGAGCGTGCTATCGGTATCTGCATATACAGTTGTCACGTGTCACGAATAAAACGTTATCCTCCAATTGTATCTAGAGCAATGGTACGTCAAACACTTTGTGAATAAATTTTATTCTATTTTACTTTCGACTCATTTTTTCAGTCAACAATTATTCATTTCTTTTTATTTTATTCTTCAACAATTTCAAAGGTATTCTTCTGTATTTTACACTTTTTTATTTTTTTAAATTATACTTTTTAAATCAAGAGTCATCTCCTTTCTCAATTCCACTAATTTTTCAGACTTTCTATTCTTTCTCTTTTTTCCTCTCTTCTTTTTTATCGCGTTCAATTGTGCTAAAAATAAGTTTTTTTTTTATCAAGACTCATTCTTTTTTCACAATTTTACAGATACCCCCCTGCACTTTGCACTTTTGATAATACTACTTTTTTTCTCTTTCACATTCGTTGCACTTAATTATTTTATGCCATGGCAATTAAGTAAGTGAGTGCACCTATATTCCACCAATTTTCAAATATAATTTTCCCCTCCAAAAAAAAAAAACAGGATCCTATACGAAAAAATTTTATCCTCTAAAATTTTTCGATTTTCATATTTGCATTTTTAAATCAAGAATCATCGACCGTGTACCACAATTTTCTCGATATTATTACGCTTTACATTTTTTTCGATGACACCACCTTTTTCCCTTTCGCATATACTATAACAATTTGATAATATTCCACGAATCTTAAAATATAATTTCCCTCCCTAAAACAGGATGCTATATGAACAAATTTTCCTCTAAAATTTTTCGATTTATGTTATCGACCGTGCACCACGATTTCCCCTAAATATTCACCACTTTTTCATAACATAATTTTTTTCCCTTTCAATATTCGTTCCACTCAATGATTTTACCATAACAATTAACCAAATAAATGCCTACATTTCACCTAATTTATTCGAATAGAAAAAATCGGATCCTGTATGAAAAAATTTTATCCCCTAAAATTTCTCGATTTACATTTTTAAATCACGAGTCGCTAACTTATCGACCGTGCACCACGATTTCCTAAATATACTCGCGCTTCGCACTTTTTCGATGACACCACTTTTTTTCCCCTTTCCCTTTCCCCTCTTTTCACATTCGTTGCATTTAATTACGGTAAAAATAAGTTAGCGTCACGGTAATTAATTTCGAATTCCCGGGTAAAAGTTTAATCAGAAAGTTTTACCGGGTTCGCACGGAGGGAGTATCACGAAAGTGGCTTTTTAAGACGCCGTAAAGGGCGGAAGCGACGAGTGAACTTAAAGATATGGAGGAGTGGATGCCACCACCTTAATCTTCCCTACGGAAAAGTTTCCCTAGTCGCAAATCTTTCCTTCGCGCTCCCGTGAACCTCTCCACCCCGCCCCTCTTATACGGCAACGGGCGTGTAAATCAGGGGACATTCGACTTTTTAAACAGATTACGCCATTTTCCCGGAATACGAGGAATACGTCGTATTCTCCGTTACGTCAACGTTCGAGAAATTGAAAAATCGAGAAAGATGTCGCCACCTGTATTTCATCCTCGAGATTCGCCTTATATAAGGTGTTACCGATATACGAATATGAATGGTCGTGAAGATAATCTATTTTTATTTGCTCGAATTTGGTGGAAATTGTCGCTTGTTGATGGACGATGACTAAACGCGGGAAAATTTTATGATACAAGAAGTTATGAAATACGTTTCTTTGATGCTGAAAATTCTATTTGTAAACGTTATGCGATATCTTTTATTTAATTTTACAATGTACGTAAACGTGAGGATTTTTGTGGGGAAAAAAGTAATTCTAATTTTTGATGTTGCTTTTCATATTGAAATATTCATATTTTGACGTTTTTTTTAGATATTACGTTATTTTTGATTTTGAAACGGATTAGTAAGGTAATGGAAAAATAGTTGTCGTGAAAATGATTTATTTTTATCCGATGGAAAATTTTTGTGTGTGATGGATGGCGGTTGGATGAGAATTTTTCATAAGAAAATTTTATGACGTAAGAAATTATTTTTGATATTGAATTTTATTTGTAAATTTGTAAATGTTGTGTTATCTTCTGACCTAATTGTAGTTTTAAAGTGTAAAGATTTTTATGAAGAAATTTTGTGACATAAGTTATATATATATAATGTTAGAAATTCTATTCGAAATACGGCGAATAATTTCGAATTATTTTCTAATTTTCTATTGTTAAGAAAATTTTTAAAGTTTGCGAACGAATAGCAGCAAGTAGTTAACTGTTCTCAGGGAAACTTGGTTGTCGGCGGCTTAAACGAAATTTTATTCTCGAACCTCTTTCCACCGAATTTTTATTTTTTATTATACCAAGTTTCAAACGTTGGACTTAACGAATGATTGTATAATGTAGTAGAGAAATCATTTAAGTAAGTGTCTCTGAACTTTCTCATAATCTTCTGGAAAGTTTAGTTTGCCTAAAAAGATTTAAAAGTTTTTATTTAAACATTAATACTTTTTTCTTCATATCGAAACAAGATCGAACGAGATATAAAAATTCGTGCAATTTTAAGTGATCAAAGATGTCGGTATTTCGAAAGGGAGTTTAATTAAAGAAGCTTTTCGAGGGTCTAACATGGAGAAAAAATTCACTAACTTGTCTGATCATCTTTCACATCCACTCACCTTTTTTTCGATTTCCGCTTGCGTTAGGATCACGAAAAGGTTTCCACGGTATATTCTGAATGCACGCTAACTCGACGTTTCCTATTTTCGATGAAATTCAATCGTGATGCGTATTTTCAAAGAATTGATGAAAAATTGAAAAACTGAAAAATTAAATTATCGATCAAAAGTTTGAAAACAATTATTTTAATTTAGATTAGAATTAATTATTAGATAAATCTAATCTACCGATACAAGTTGATAAAATTAATATCTGATTTTTTATTAATATAGATAGATAATATAGATAGGTAATGTAGAATTAATAGTAAACAAGTAATGTAGATAATGTAGAATTAATAGTAAATAGGTAATGTAGATAACGTAGAATGATTAAGCAAATGTTTAATTTAAAATATATGCGAGGATTATTATTTACCTGATCCACTGATCCATTAATAATTGACAAAAAAGTCGATGTAAAAAAAAAAGTAGTCCAAATTCTCTCTAGAATGTCATTTTGTTTCTCACAGCCACAGATATGGTATAATACTCTTATAATTAGTATAGTAGAAAATTAGATCGAAAATAAGATTCTTCTAATTTGTTCTTGAGGGATTCATTGATACATAAGGGACTTTATCACGCGGACCATTTAATGGAGAGGAAGGTTATCCTCTGGGACAAAAGGACTTCTCGTTAACTCGCTCCTTTAACCGTTTCGCTAAACTCCCGTGACGTCTTGAGCTTAAAATCCCGTTGGGTTGCTTGTCACTCCCTCTACTTTCGCCTTGTCTCACTGTTCCTCAATTCATCACACATTCCACTCTGGTAATTGAAAAATCCTCTGATCTTTTTCTTTTCAGAAAGATTCTTGCTCCTCTTCTTCATTTCCTTCATCAACTAATTTTTTATTACATTTATGTACATCTTTTGCTTCCGCCATATTCGTTATGAAACTAAAGTTTCGAGAGTCGTATACTAACCTGTACGCATGTCGCGAAAAACTTGCTAAAATCCAAATTAAATTTTTGTTCTTTTATATATTTGAAATTAATACGATTATTTTAAGTGTACGTGCTTTTGTGTAATGTGATATTGATGTAGTCTTTCTTCACGAGCATTATAATTTATATGATTAATCTATTAATGTATAATTCAGATTTTATTTACATTTCAATTCTCTCTCGATATTACTTTTTCCATATTTTATATTGTTTCAATTTTGTTTATTTTTATTTTATTTTATTTTATTATTATAGTCGTTACATTTTTTAAATTATTCTTATTTCTTTTTAAATTTTACTCCTCTGCTTTCAATATTTCCATGTTGTATCCACACTTGTCTTGCTTCTTTCTCCTTCATTAAATTTTTGTAGCCATCCATTCTCTCTCAACATTTCACGCTCTTTTCCCTTCTCGTTTTTTCGTACACGTAAACATATCCATTCCCGCGCAACACGTGCATGTGACTAAACGTCGCCACCACGAAATCTCCTCGTATTTTCGTGGCAACATTATCTTCTATTCACCTCAGAAAAGAAGGATAGAGATGTCCATTATACCTTCCGCACGTATACGTATAATAAACGCAAGCATTCATCTAAGCGCCACCTAGCGCTGAAGCATGAAAAAAAGAAGAAGCGAAACTAATTTTGACATAGCCAACTTTTCTACCTTAGTTTCCTATTCGAAGTTCAGTTATAATTTAACGTGATACAGTGTTAAGAGGATGGATAAAGTCGATGAAAGTGCGAATCGGAGAGCAGTATTTTAAACTGACCTGGATTTTCTGTTTCTCCCGATAGAAGGAACATCTCGTGTGATGCTACTAACCTTCTCTCGACCAGTGATCGATATTCAAATGAAATTCCACAAGTAGATCGAAAAGAGGAGCAATATACAGTTTACGAATAAGTTATGTTGATTTCGTTTGTGCAATTGTGTATTTAATTTGTTGTTTAGAATGTTTTTAACGTATTTAATAAGATAATAATTCGGTTCTAATCATTTATGATTGATTGTTTTGATTAGTAATGTTCATGTTATTAGAGATAGTGTGATATTTATATAATTTTATGTATTTATTAAATAATTTGTTTGCGTGTGTTTATTATAATAATTCGGTTTTGATCATTTGCAGTTAAATATTGTAATTTTCGTATTAGTACGATGTATACGATTATGTATTTGGTTATTTGCTTTACGTACGTATTTAATAAAATATAATTCATAATAATTCGTTTTAATCATTACGTTAAACATCGTGATTTGTAATTTTTTGGTGTTAAAGTTAATGATACATATACAAATAGAAATATTGTAATATATTACACTATTGCTAATTTATTAATCTTTAGAAAATTTCAAATCGACCAAAATATCTGAATACGAATGGTAGAGTAATTCATAAAACGCATTCGAATTTTAATCGTTCCACAATAGTAGCACAGGCCGACAATCAATCACGGTAAAGGTGAAAATTAGTCGCAAAACCAATGGCTGCTGTAAATTCATAAACGTCGCTTTGAACGAGATGAATTTCGGTAACACCAGCGGTTAAAATTGTGAACGTGACAACACAAAATTTTTATTCAAAAATAAAAAATATAAATTCAAAAGTAAGATTTTAAATAATTTTTTATTATAATAAAAAATTCTTATAGTTTTATACAATGTTTACTTGTAAAAGATTATTTTCGAGTTTCAAATAAGTTTTAAAAGTTGTATTGAGTATTTTTTCATAAATAGACATGATGTTCAGAGTGAAAATTATATATCTTTTGGATAGTTATTCTCAATATAATTATCAATTTGTAAAAAAAATATTATCGAGAGCAATTCTCAAAAGTTTTACTCTTAAATATATTCGCACTTTTAGGATACGACTGCATTTGAGAGTAAAACTCTCGAAATTTATTTTTGAAGATATTTTTTTATAAATGGACACCGTACTGACTTTTACTCTCAATACAGTATCTATTTGCAAAAAATGTTTTCGATAATTTTACTCTTGAATATATTACATCTATTTTTACAATGGAAATTCTTGAAATTAGTTCCGCGATTGTACCAACATTTGTTACCAACATTCTAATAAATCTGCGATAGCCGACGTTGGTACGCCTGACGCGACTCTGCGCGTAATCTTCCTAAAATTTCAGAGACGACATAACCTAAATCAGTCAGTACTGCAATTGCGACAATGCCGATGGCTGTGAATCGCGGAAGGAGGACGACAGACGACCATGCCTGACGACAGGAATATAGAAGAAAAGAACGAAAAGGAAAGGAAACGTGAAAAGGTAACTGAACGAGAGGAAGGGAGAGAAGAGAGATAAAAAAAAAGAGAACACCTCGGGCGAAACATCACGTTCGACCTCACATCGAACCAGAAAATTGTACGATGCGCGAAACAGACTCGAACCAATTTTTTTTTCTTTCTTTCCTCATTCTTTTACTTTTTTTTCTATCTCATCCCAAATGTATATTTCTTCTTTCTTTTTTTTTTAATTTTTTGCCATAGCAAAACTGCAAGTGCTTCAAAATCTATGCAATCACGGTTATCGCTGTTTGTTCACTTCCGTCGTGTTTCAAAAGCGAAAAATTGCGATCGAGATCAAAGAGGCACTTTGATTGACAGAATGAATAAGTGCACAGTCATTTTTTTTTCTTCTTCCTTTTTCCGACCAATGGGAAATTTTAATACACCGAAGGGAAAATGATTCGAACAAGTTTGAACAATTTTTAAAATATCGCAAGAGCAATAAACGTCTGTACTTTATATATAAAATCTCGATATACGTAGATAAAATTCAAATCATTGAATAAGCGAATTCTGTAACATAGATATATTTATATTTTTATTTTCGTGTAATTTAAATATCGAGAATTGAAAAAAGAAATTTCGAAAATCAAATATGAATATTTATTCATTTTTTTTCTTTCGTGTATAAAGTAATAAGATAAAATAGATTGTTGAAAAAAATTTTTTGAAAATAGATATAATGAAAAAAAAAAATTTAAATATGTTTTTTCCTATTCAGATTATGATTATACTTGAAAATGGGAAATAAAGTTACATATAAAATAACTACGTATCATTACTGCATTGAGGGTAACAATAATTCTTTTTAATTTTATCGCTCTCTACGTTGACATTATTGATCCGAAGAAAATTGAACACTCGTATAAAGTTTAATTATAGTAACTTCTGATAAAATAAAATGTTATTTATATGTTTATCGTCGAACACGCAATTACTTTTGTCCACTCTATTCTTCATCCGCACCTGGATATGATACCAGTCATAATCAAATTTTGATCATGAAAATTTAACAATTACCTTCCCATTGTATTAAAATCATGGAATTTATTAATTTTCCTTAACATTTTCCATTTTGTTTGGTTATTGAAAGTAATTTCAGTCATATCGTAAACTAATACACCATCGATAAACTTAACCTCTTTTTAATATTCAAACCCAAAAGATCAAAACCATATTTTTCCATCATATTTCTCTCTACGATCCTCATTCATAATTAATATTTTCCAAATAATTTAAAAAAAATTCTCCTGCGAGTTTGGAAATATATTATATTATTCCATGTTTTTTTTCAGCTGTTACATTAAGGTGATTGCATTTACCTAGAATGCATACCTCTTAACTCATTGCGCAGCACTCTGGTATACTATATTAATATTAAACTTAATTTATTTTGCCAATGTTTAGTATCAAGAAGAATCGTACAATTCACACAATTCGATTTATCTTCATTTATTCGAAGAACTCCATTTGTTAAATCGAACAAAAATATTATCCTCAATTAATTAAAAAGTTCAAGCCGAATTTTAAGATATTAAATTTTAAGATAAGATTTTAAATTTTTGATTATTGCAATATCAATTATATAAATATTTTTTTCACAAATGTATAAATATATAATTTTTGTACATTTAAATTATTAATTTTTATCATATACTTTATGTAATGTGTATATTTCGTTTCATGTATGGTCAAGTATTCGATCAACAGAGTTTAGATAGATGACTATAATGTCTGATGCTATAGTATGCATCGGTTACTTTCGCTATTAATCAAAAGTTTCTCGTAATAGTGAATGAACCTGCTAAATTAAGGATAAATTAGCATATAACGTGACTTCGTACCTGGTTATCAATCTTTTATTAACCTCATCGAAGTTCGAAAAAGTATGTAACATCGTATTAATTGTACTTATCGTAACATATTACTATCGATAGAACATTCCACATTATAGCGAATTCGTGTGATATATTACAGATTTTATTGCTTTTCCGAACTGAGAGATTAATCTGTAAGTATATCTGAAAATAAAGAAGAATTTTTTTTATTGTGGATATTAAAATGATTAATTTCATTGAGGTTAAACATTTGGTTTCTGGAAAGTTAACCTCTTCATGGACATATATAAGATATTAAAGACATGATTTACAGTATTTATTAACAGTGATTGTCGAAATAAAGAAAAATATTGTCAGTGTTTCCAATTTTTTTATTATTATTATTAAAATATTCTGCATTAAAAAGTTCTTCAACAAATATTAATTCAAAGAAAAATTAAATGTATACATATGCGTTATCAGTGTCTCTAAAGAGATTAAATACTAATTATATAAGGTAATTCATTTAAATTGGCTCATTTGAATATCTTGTGATGATGATACTCATATATTCTCATACTGTTAGTATTATTGTATAATATTTTAATTATATTATATTAAAAGATTGTGATAATACTCAAAATGTTTTAAACAAAAATTATGATTATATGATATAAAAATTTTTTCTTATATGAATATATAAAGATCATTTGTTAAATATAATTATTCAATTTAATATATTGGTCGATACATCTCTATATTCTCTATAAAAAAGTATTTATATCCATTTATGTTATTAAAACCATTAATTTAGAATTTAGACTTTAGTGATAATAAATAAACTTTACTTTTACTTTTCATTTATGATCTACTATTGTTTAATAATCTTATCTGTCGACATGTTTCTTGAGAATCGACAAAAATTTGTCTCGTATCGTATCTTGTAGCTGTAAAAGGAAACGATGCTATTATGATATTTCCACAATGCTGCAACGCATTTTCTTTAACAATCACGACACGAATCTCGCATCACGGCAATTTTTAATAGGCCAGAATGCATCAAAGCTTTTCAAAAGGTACAACAACATCGTTTCTATGAAACCACGTCGTGTTTCTGCTCACGATTCTTTCTTTCGATCGAAGCGCATTGAAACGCGTTTTCGATTTTTGAGGTTAACATATGTATGCATGTAGAAACGAGATTAAACGAGATTCGTTCCTTGCAAATCTTCAAAGTTCAAAAAAGAATCGAAATTTTTGGGTTACCAAAGTTTTCCTTATTAGGTTGACGACGAAAATTCCGAAATCTTTCTAAAATTGGATAGTTTGATTTTTTCAACTCATTTAAATATTCCAAAAAAAAAAAATAATTTTCTTTTTTTACTTTGAGAAAAATTTATTTTTGAATTTAGATAGTTTAATTTTTCCAAATTATTTAAATTTTAATAGACACTTCAAAGAAAATAATCCTTTTTTTATTTTGAAATAATTGAGCGATTTAATTTTTTCAAGTTATTTAAATTTTAATAGATATTTCAAAGAAAAAAATAATTGAGTTTAATTTTTTCATATTATTTAAATATTAATGGATTTTTAAAGAAAAAATAATTTTTTTTTTTTACTTTCCAAATGAAATTTATTTTTGAACGATAAAGTTGGAATTAAAATTAATAAATATAAGAATAGGTTCTTGTTTGAGCGAAGTTAAACAAACAATTGTTCATTGATGTTGCTGCAATTTAATTTACTTAATAGTATATTTTTCGTAAGTTTACTTTTTAAAATTGTAATTTTTTTGTTCCAGTGCTAAACATTTGTACCAAACTCATCGATATTATTGTCAGAGAAAATTTCAAATTTCAGTAGATATAAAATTGCAAATTCAAGATTAAAAACATTTCAAATTAGATTCCACTCGTGTATGCTTTGCCAGATACATCACAGCACTTGCATCCATTCCTTTTCCTTACATATGTTCATTTGAAGCGTTATCTTTATTAACTATTTGATCTTTGATATCTCATTAAACTGTATATAGTTTATATTACGCGTATATACAACGTTACAGGAAGTTTCTTCATTAGCAAGTGTTTTAGCTGGATAAGCTGTAAATTGACATATAGACACTATATGTTACTCTTGATTTAGAGAATTTACATTGCGATGCAGTTCTTTATGAATCAAATATTTTGTGACTGACAAAATATATTACATTAATTTTATAAAACTTTATATGAATGAATTTACAGTTACATAGTTTACAAAATAAATCTTTTTAAAGGACAATTGAAAAATTGAAATAAATAAAAGAAAATAATTGAAAAATATCATGAAAAATATTTCTACACATTAATAAATAGTTACAGTTAAAATGAAGATTTTAATAAAAGAACCTAATTACAATATTTATTTTATTATTATTAAATTATAATTGCGCTTTGAGCGTATAAAAATTTATATATCTCTATATTTAAATATTTGGAATAAAACAAATTTTTAAGTTTCCTTTTTTTATATACATATTCGTTTATTATATATATATAAAAAAAAAGAATGCAATCTCAATTATAATACCGCACGTTTTACACAATGTTCCAAGTGTAAAAATCAAATTTTTAAATTATAATAACATTATTAATAGAGAATATATCATAGAAATGCAATTTGTAGTGAATTAAAGAACAATAAAGAATCTTTATGAAAAATAGTTTACCAATTATTCTATAAATAGATATAATACATAAACAAAATATTTTATTTTATATTTATTAATGAATTATATAAGATATAGATTGGAAAAACTTTTTGTAAACATACTTATATAAATAAATATCATTATCAAAAGATTAATTAATAATTTTAATAAAAGAATTCGATCACAATTTCACTATTATAATTTAAATTATAATCAAAGTTCAAAATTACAACAATATAACATATCATATAATATAAATATATATCATATAAATACAATGGTAAAGGAACCTTGAGATTTTTATGAAAAATATTTTCAATTTTTCTACACGTTAAATATCTACGCTAATTAAAAATAATTGTAACAAAATAGCTCAGTCACAAATTCACTATTATTAATTCAAATCACAATCAATGTCAGGATAAATCAAACTTCTATATTACAATCGTGTGTGATATATCATGATCACTACAATGTGTGGCTGGTAAATTAGTAAAGAACGATAGGGAAAAAAATCGTGGAGTTTTGTAGCTAAGAAAACGCGAAACCGCGTTATGAATTTCCAGCTACCTCCAGGGAAATGGATCGTTTGCCAAATTTATTTTCGTCGTTCCAAGCAGTGTGGACCTCCGTTTCACGATCGATCATATTTTTTCCCCTCCATCCTCTCTCTCACTCTCTCTCTGTCCATCTATCTGTCTTTCTTTCTTTCTTTCTCCACGCCTGTGAAACTGTACGATCGGCAGTGGTAACTGGAACGTTCGTCCATGTTCGAGCTGCCGTTGTGTCCAAAGTTGGAAATGATTCATTAGTAATGGTACCGGTGGTACGGCCGGTATTGAGAATTCAATGGCTTCGTCGGCAAGTTTTCGATTAAATCAATCGTCATGGAGTTTCAGGTGTTATTTGAGTCGAACGTTTAA